CATACCTGAAGATTATTCTGGATGGTAGGGAAAAGCAGGAGTTAAAGAAACAGCAGTTTGTCTATGGCCAGCCTATACTGAACTTGCCATATCTATACTGAACTTGCCATATCTAATCTGAATTCAGAGGCTCAGGTGTGGTTAGTACCCTGATAGGAGAGTGAAAGCTAAAGCAAAACAAATGTCATATGAAAAATTATACCAGCAGATGCAAGAAAGAGGGCAAGAGGGTAGTGGGATGGATAAAGGAAAAGTACATGATACAAATACATGAAAATATAATGAAACCTATTGCTCTGTACACTAAAATACTTAATAAAACATTAACAGTTGGGGCTGGGAACATGGCATAGTGAGTAAAATGCTTGTCACATAAGCACAAGGATCCCAATTGGGATCCCCAGCACACACTTAAAAAACCAGGTTTAGTAGTACACTCTTTGTGACAGTTTGAATGTAACTGGCCTCCGTAAGCTTATAGGGAGTAGCACTAGTAGGTGTGGCTTTGTTGGAGTAGATATGGCCTTGCTGGAGGAAGTGCATCACTGTGGACTTTGAGATCTCATATATGCTCAAGTCACATACAGAGACTTAGTTCACTTCCTGCTGCCTGAACAAGGTGTAGAACACTCAGCCACCGCTCTACCACCATGTCTGCCTGCATGCCATCATGTCCCACCATGATAATGGACTGAACCTCTGAATTGTAAGCCACCCAATTAAATGTTTTCCTTTTTGAGAGTTGCCATGGTCATGGTGTCTCTTCACAGCAACAGAAACTCTACCTAAGACACCCCTGTAATCACAGTGCTGGGGATACAGAGACAGGGGGATTCTAGGGCTTGCCGGCCAGACAGTCTAGCCAACTTAGCTAATTCTCGGCTCAGTAAGAGACCCTGTCTCCAAAACTAAAGTGGAGAATAACTGAGAAAGACAGATGTCAACCTCTGGCCTCTACACCTACATGAACACACATGCACATGTAGCCATGCACGTACACAAACATGTACATACACACACATATACAAAATAAATATGAATTAGGATGCAAATAATTATCTCACTGCATGTTGCTCTCAATCCTTCCTTTTGCTTGTTCCTCTGACTGAAAAGTCTTCTGAAATATTCCAACTATGTCTGCATTGTGCTACAGGAATTAAGAAGTTACAGAAAAGGGAAAAGAGAAACAGGAGCCTCCTCAAGAGACAAGCCTCATGGCTGCTGTAAGCAGATCCAGTTTCCCCAATCAAAGACAACTTACATGAAGAACTAAAGTGATAAGACTTTTGCTTTTATGAATATGAAGTTAAACTGGTATTTGTTTGGTTTTCTTGTTGTTGTTTTTGCTTTATACTGATAAACTTGCTCTAGGCAAAGCAGAAATTCTCTAAGTCCATTAACCATTCTTCATGATTTGTTTTACAAATCCACCAAAAGAAACTGAAATGTTTGAAGCTTTCAAGGCCTTTCTGAAAACATTAGATATATACTCTACAGTGTTCGGGGTGCTAGTCTAGCATGCACAAGGCCCTAGGCTGTATTCTTAGGACCTTATAAACAGACAAGGTGGCACACACCTCTAACCTCAGCCCTAGGGAGTTCCAAGCCAGCCAAGGATCCTGTCTCAAAAAAGACAAGAGCATAACACTGGATACATGAGACCTTGTTTCAGAAAAGATACAAATTACAGAATGAAATGCCTTGAATCTATTCTCATTTCAGTCCCTCCCTGAACTAGCCACTTTTCTCAATGCTGTGGTAACTATGCATCTGGGAAAAGAAAAGAAACTTAGGAAAAAATAGTTTATTCGGGCTTACAGTCTGAGGGGCTACAGCCCACCAGCCTGAGGCACTGGGCACACTGCATCCAGTCAAGGGGTAGAGAAATAATGTTAGTGCCCAATTCACTTCCTCCTTATTGGCTACAGGACTCTAGCCTCGGAATGTTGTCCATATACAGGGTGGGTCTTGCCCCTCACAGACATGCATGGTGGTCTGTTTCTAAATCCAGGAAGTTGACAATGAAGACTAATCTTCACACTGTCCTTTTAGAGAGACTTTCTACTTACTCTCCAACCCAGCAAGGCCCTCAGATGCCTCCCCAAAGAGAGAGAAAAGAAATCATACTTGAGCAGCCAGGACACCTGCAAAAAAAAAAAAAAAAAAGACACACAAACTCTTTGTTTGGGTGCCTGCAGTGGTTGCTCTGTTCAGTGGATGATTTTGTCATTTAACATTACTACTTACAAGGAATCCACACTGAGACTGACTGAACCTATTCACTCATCCTTCCCCAGGCTGACATCTTCACTATTCTCATTAGGGCAGGTCTAAGGAATCCCAGGATACTGACCCCAAGGCTCCATTTTTATACTAACTTCACACTGACATGTGTTCAGAATAAACTTCCCTTTGGTAGTTTCTGGTCTTAATCACCTCACAGTTCTCAGCTTCCTTCAGGACTGGAACCCTGGGAGATTCTGAAGGAGCAGCATTGTCA